CTCCTGATATTATTAATAGTTGCAGCTCCGTCATAACTAATATATTACGTTTAATCATATGTACATTTATACAATAGAGTAAGCTAGTATATTAAGCGGTAGGTGCAGTTGGGAGTTTAAATTATTTAGTAAGTTTAACGATATATGTAATTTGGTTATAAAATTATAAAGCAGGGTTAACGATGTTGCAAGTGTAAACCTCTTAAAGAATGGGTATATATAGTTATAGTAATATGTTCAATTAGGTGCGCAAGTACCGCTACCGCTACACGACTGTTTTCACAGGAACAGGATAACGGCTCCATTATCTCAGGGTGAATGAATGTAAATAGCTTTTAAGGTTCACCCCACCCTTTGCAGAAAAATTACGTCTTTGTTCAATTATCTCAGCTTTGTCAAGCTGTCCATCAAGCGTAGCAATTAAAATATGATTGGCCTTTGTAATCAGGTCACTTTGCGCCACCTAGCGTGGAAACAGCGAACAGTGCTGTTGTGCTTATGTGTATTTTACACAGATAGGGGATTCCACAGATTCAACGTTCAGACTTCACTCGAAACTTGCCGGCGGCATATGATGCTGATTCCCAGCAAGTTGTCGGATCTACATGTTTACGTCACTTGACAGAATGGCCATTTCCATAATGTAGAGACGTCTATAGGGCACTAACCTTGCGTGCATAATGCACTCTAGTGCCGAATATTGCCGCAAACATTGAGAAATGGGTCTTTTACAGACACGAAGTAGTGAACGAATAGCGCGGAAGGTTATTGTTGCGTAGCCCTTCTACACATCTGATTGGTTCTTGCGTCCATTTGACTTTCGCCGCCTAGAATAAATATTACACAAGCCTGATTGGTTCTTGGAGTCAGGTGACCTTGTGCCATCTAGGGTACAGAGGTGTGCTTATCGAGCGATTTTTTACCATACCAGACTATTAAAGGGGTGGTAAAGGACCACACGATACCGACAAAGCAGACGCGTAATCATTCGGTTCAGTTAGTTCTGCCCGTTGCACTATTTGGGTATTGCAATATACCTTGCGCAGCAAACTACTACGTGGGCGTTGAATTTCAGTAGTGCAGCGGTATCAATCTGGTACGTATATGTCCTGATTCTGATATGCGCTGCTAATATTCATAAGTAAATTCTGAAATGCGTTCTGATTACGCAAAATCACTAATGTTACGTTTAAATTATGATGGATGGATCCACTGCTATTAATCGAAGATTAGCGTTGTTATTGTTCGTGAGATGCTCGGTGTATGGTTACGTGCCACAGTGACATGTCTGCCTCCCTCTATCGTTGTCTATCTCCCTACCACTATCTCTATCTATCTCGTCCCCCATCTCTCTCGTGTGCGCTCTCGCTTTCTATCTCGTTTTGTTTCTCGCTTACTTTTGCCTGCTCGCCCTCTACCTCCCTTCCTCTTCTCCTCCACCTTGCTCTCTGTGCATTCGGATTCAATACAGCGCTAGGTTTTCCGACACTGATTCGAGTAATGTCTTTTGCGTAAACGCGTGCGCGTGCATTTCTATGAATCTCGTCGCTACTGCTTTCAACACAGCAGTAGCAGCAGCGCGATTGCGATGCTGTGAAAAAAATTCGGCGGGCGCTTCAGTTTTTGCGCGAGGTTTATGTACTGCACGGCGACTACTGTTCGCAGAGTCGCGATCATTAGACACTCACGTGTGTTACGCCAGCAACAGCAGCAGCGCAGCAGCAGCGGCAGCTGCGGCAGCAGCGGCAGCAGCGGCAGCAGCGGCAGCAGCGGCAGCAGCGGCAGCAGCGGCAGCAGCGGCGGCAGCGGCAGCGACACCAGCAACCGCAGCAGCAGCAGTAGCAGCGCAGCAGCAGCAGCAGCAGCACCAACAACAGCAGCAGTAGCAACGCCAGGGACACCAGCAACAGCAGCAGCGGCAGTAGCAGTAGTAGCAGTAGTAGCAGTAGCAGAAGCAGCAGTAGTAGTAGTAGCAGCGACAGCAGCAATAGCAGCAGTAGCAGTAGCAGCAGCAGCAGTAGCAGTAGCAGTAGCAGAAGCAGCAACAATAGCAGCAGCAGTAGCAGCAGCAGCATCAGTAGTAGTAGTAATAGTAGCAGCAGCAGCAGCATAAGTAGCAATAGCAGTAGCAGCAGCAGCGCCAGCAGTAGCAACAGTAGCAGCAGCAGCGCCAGTAGCAGCAGTAGCAGCAGTAGCAGCAGTAGCAGCAGTAGCAGCAGCAGTAGAAGCAGCAGGTGTAGCAGTAGCAACGCCAGCAACAGCAGCAGTACCAGCTGCAGCAGAAAAGCAGCAGCAGTTGCAGCAGAAAATTGTTGTTATTTTGAGGACATGTTTAGTGAAGCGATCCGAGTTCTATCCTTGTATGCATGTTTTAGATATAGGATCTGAATAAAATCGGGGCTACCACCCTGACCTCCTGACCCACCAAAACACATCCTGGCTTATTACGTACTGCTTTCGCTCCTATTATAAAATTCCTGAATAGCATCTTGAAAATTATCAATTAATGCCTTCACAATTCATTAGAGTAGCTTCTACAGCACTCATTTTTCATGATTGAATGATAACAACGACGCAGCCCTAATAAGTCTACAGCTTTAATGAATTCCCTGGATACTTCAATACCATTCTCCTTTCCAACTTTCCATTTACCCTATCCAACAATATCCACAACTATTTTGTTCGTGGCTTCAAAAATAATTACAATGGGGAAGGCGAGTACGGTTACATATCGACCGTTCGACATGTACCGACCGCATAGACATGTACGACATGTATCGACCGTTCGACAACAGGTATACAAATAGGCCTACGCAGTAAAATCAGACATTAATCTTAGCGATATGTAGAGTTACGTGTTAAAATAAGATATTAACGTTAGTTATATAGTTATGTTATGATACATATTATGTCAGACATTACTTTTGACGATAGGTAGATATTAGTGGTGAAAACAGTCACAGCGGTAGCTACACTCGTGCGGTGCAACCAGGCTGTGCAAAGACGTTACCATTAGATATACAGTTATGCGTTAAAACAAGACGCACGCGGCGCACTTATAAACGAGTGCGTACGTAGTTCGCGCCCACATTGAAACGACAGCGCTGGCATTAAGCATTCATGAGGCGTGTTTAGTTTTCGTGATTACCCGTGCTTCTAAGCTTGACAGACCTGTCAATTACGATGCGGTAGCCACACCGAGCTGCTCCCGTTTCGCTATTATTTACTAGTTACGAGCCGTTCTCTGGCACGCCGGTGATATCATCAAGAGCTAATAAATATTATAAATATTATTAGCTCTTGATATCATCTATCGTTGATGACACAACTCGCTGGTTAGCATATTTGAACTCGTTGACTGCTTCTGTGGGCGTGTCTACGCTTAGTTGCGATTAATCAGATGGTATTAGCTAGAGACGGTAAATGCTCGACAGTACGTGGAAGCAAATGGGTAATAGTAACGCTCACTCTCACTCATGTACGTACGCATCTAATGCACACGCAAGAACAGTGACGCTGAAGGGGTCGTTGTCGTATCAGGTAATACATATATGTACCCGAGGTACATATATGTATACACAAAGTGTACCAGACTTATACCAGAAGTGTACCCTAACCCTCACCCTAACCCTAACCCTAACCATAACCATAACCATAACCCTAAACACAGGGTACATATATGCTGAGAAGATACAGGTCTGGTATACATATACGTACCTCGGGTACATATATGTAGTACCTGATACGACAACGACCCTTTCAGCAACAGTGACAGTGTATGTTTTAAAACGCTATGTCGCTTTTCGACGTGCAATTCTTTTAAATTTAGATATGTTGCTATTACACACACAAGACCGCATTAGTCAACGTATGAGGAACTCTTACATATATTAAATAGTGAGTGATGTACCTGAACCAAAAATACATCACGTATTCGGGCAGAACCGCTTACACAGCACAGGCTGGTAGAACATGTATGTCATTTTTCGGAATACGAGGAGCCCTTACATCACGCGTATAGTGACATGCTCAAACAAAAGGTGTATGTCGTGTTCGTCAGAGGGGGCTGCAGACTATCCATGCACTTCGCCAGCAACTCGCAGGCGATAAATTCCCCCCTACTAAAGTCAGTCCGTTTTACGCATAGATACCGTGATTATAGACGCGCGTTCGCTGCAAGGTTACGTGATCGACGCTAATGATGCGCCATCTTTGTTTTTCGCTTCGTTCCAGTATGCGATCAACTACCACGCGATAGATTTAACTACGAAATCCCTTCTATTTCACGCGTAAATAATAATAAATATTATTTGTATTGTTAATTTTAAGCGTAACAGTAACGATTACAGACCACTAGACCACACTCAACAACGCGGTCGGAGAGACGTGCGCCGCTAGATGGGGTGATCGATGCTCATGCTGCATCATTATTGTTTTTTTCTTCGTTCTAGTATGCGAGCAACTTCCATCAATTTATTTACCTAAGATATTCCGTCTCTTTTTTCACATGAATAATTTTCTTATTATTACTATGATTATCATGATTATTATTATTGTTACGCGTAACAATAACGCCTACAGACTACTGGTCTTTACGTAACAACGTGATCGGAAAGAGAGACGCAAGCACGCCGCCAGATGGATTACCTTTATTTTACTCGTTTTTTTAATCTACGTTCATGTTCGTTCGTTTATCTTCGGCTAAACATCAAGCTCCGTTATTTTTTTTATCTTTGCAGTATGACCGAAATGATCGCAATTCGTGTATCCTTGTCTCAACTTTGCCATTTTTCCTTTTTTGCAGTATGACCGAAATGTTCGCAATTCGTGTATCTTTGTCTCAACTCTGCCGTTTTTCCTTTTTTACAGTATGACCGAAATGTTCGCAATTCGTGTATCCTTGTCTCAATTCTGTTATTGTTCCTGTTTGCAGTATGACCGAGGTGTTCGCAATTCGTTTATCTTTGTCTTAACTCTATTATTTTTCCTCGTGTTTGCAGTATGGCCGAGATGTTCGCGATGATGTACGTCGGCGACGAGGACGACGACGTGCCGATGAAGCCGCTGCCGGAGCCGCCCAAGGCCGAGGTGAATGGCGGCCGCGTGCTACATCTGTCCTGCGGTGCGCTGCTCGTCGGCTTCACGTGCATCTGCCTCGAGGTCGTCAAGAACATCTATGACGTCAGCTTCTTCCACAAGGACAGCAACGTCTACTTGACTATAATGGTGCCGCTGACGGGCGTCGTCGGCGTCATCGCATCGCGCAAGATGCGCAAGTGGGTCTACGTGCTACTGCTCTACACGATCATACCGACAGCGATCACCTGCTTCATACTGCTCGTGCGCAACGCGTTCATCGTCTACTACCTGTCGCACGACGGCGCCGAGTTCCAAAGCAGCGGTACGAACGTCGACGGCATGTCTGCGCCGGACTACTACGAGCAGTTTCGCACCAAGTTCAAGATCTACCACGCCGTCGCCATCGCCGCCTGCACGTGCCAATCGATAGCCGTCTTCACGATCACGTGGCTCGGCTACTACGCGTTCAAGATCTTCCAGGTCGCCTGCTCGATCTGCCGCGATAATCTTGGCACGATAGAGAACGACTAGCGGCGCGTGGCCGAGACGAGAGAGAAGGAAGACTCCGAGCGACTCCATGTGCGCGCGTGTAAGACGTTTTTGCGCGCACGCGCGCGCATGCGCGGATGCATGGGATTTCTTCGATGCTGGCGCACTCTGGCGACAAACGTCCTCGCCGGTCAGCGGTTCTCGGTTTCGGGAACATGGCGGCCGCTGAAGGAAAACCACGAGGGGGAGCCACGAGTGAGAGCTAACGCGCACTACCGGATCGGTACCTGTAAGGTCATGTTCGACTGCATCAAGACATGCATACACGCGCGAGCGCACGCAGGTGCAAACACTCACGCACGAGCGCTCACAGGCACGAACACGCACAATCTCGCGCACGCACGAACGCATGAACACACGCGCGCACACATGAACAGACTCACGAACAATAACACACGCTGACAGATAGGCACGAACACACGCATACGCGCAAGTACGCGAACACACACACGCATGCATGCGTAAACACATACATGTACACTAACACATACAGTGACAGACAAGTACGCAGCACGCACGCACACACACGCACACATACACACACACAAACACACATACGCACACACATACACACACACTCACACACACACACACACACACACACACACACACACACACACACACACACACACACACACACACACACACACCCACGCGCGCGCAGCACGCACGCACGCACGCACGCACGCACGCACGCACGCACACGCACGCACGCACACACACACACACACACATTCGTGCAGCTAACATAGCGAGGCATATATGCCCACGGCGTCCATGTGACGCCGCATGGCGTTCACGCGTGATAGTCGCGTGATATACGCGTTCACGCGTGATAGTCTCTGGCCGCAGATTGCGTGACACCGTGCCTGCGTGAGGCCAACAGGTGGCCACGACGTGACGAAGTCAGACCCGCAGTTTTTCAGCCAATGTATGGCATTCAAATCATTGTAGGATCGACATAGATGGCGGTCGATGCGAGAACATCTACACACACATACACAAGAACATCCGTGAAAATATGTCACGTGCTCTGTCGCCTTTATATATATATATATAATATATATATATATATATATATATATATATATATATATATATATATATATATATAAATATATATATATACATATACATGAGACTTTTCATATAGAGGCAAAGAATGATTAGTGAATTAGTCATGTGTCTTTATCATCGCTGTCACCTACCATTAACGTGTGCGTAAACATTGCATTCTATATACGTTTTACTAAGAACTCGCGCAACTTCCATTCTATTTACTCATATCTTTATGTTCCTGTGGTCCATGAAAACTGTACATACTACTTTGTAATTGCATGTGTTTACATTAGCACCCGTGTACAGATTATGTAAGGAAAGCGCATGACGTCGTGTGTAAGATTCCAGTCTCATACCGCTCAATTAACAACGTTCGCTGCCGTTTGTACGGGAGCTCGCCTTCTTCATCAATTTAAAATGAGAGCAGTACGCGCGGCGCAGCATCGCCGACGCGACACTATATTTATATTCGTTATTTATTTATTCGAGTGAGGATATTTCTAATGTGTGACCTTCTAACAATTCCAGAACTGCTACTGCACGTGCGCGCGTGTGTGCGTGCGCACGAGTCGCGCCTGCTGGCCGACTATTGGCGCATTATATCAGATACTCTAAACTAATAATCGGAATTACGTTCGCCTATTACGCGTAGAGCGATAGAGAGAGAGAGAGAGAGAGAGAGAGAGCTCTATGCCGGAGTAGCGAACAACTATTACCAATTCTCACCATAAGCTGTCTAACCGTGTACATATGCGTATGGCTGGAGACGAAGTCTCGCGGTATACACTACGTATCCCCAAGTCTATTATCGAAGTATATAAGGAAATAACGGTAAATACAACATATACTTACAAGAAAAGTGCATTTGTGGTTTTCTAAGGATGTTTTGTGCGCGGTCGGCCTGGGCGCTAGAGGCGGCAATAGCTTGTCTAATGCTCGCGCGTGCGTAAGTCGCGTTTCGTGGCGCATTAGCAGGTCACGAAGCCGCTCAGGCGAATTTGTTCGCGCTAATACGGCGTCACGAAAACAAACCGGCCCACCGACAATGACGATATACGGCCGGCTCGGCGATAATAACAATACGGTGGCTTTTCGCGCTGTGCAATCAGCGTGATTGCTCGGCTTGACAGCTTCATTCAGCATCCGGCGCGAGTTTGGCGCGAGTACCGCCGCTGCGCTGCGAACCTTTATCACGATCAGCTCATGCGTAGCTGAAGCAAGATTCGAATAGGCGCGAGGGCGAATGGGCACGAAAGAAGACTGCACAAAACAATCGCCAACCTGTCCGTCGCATGACCTTCGCCTTAATGCCCGCATTGCGCGATGTGATTTCGTGCGCGTGTGCGTATATGTGTGCATGCTTTCGTGTGCACGTGCATGGGCGCGCACGTGCCTTTGTTGTGCATGGAGGTGAGAGGACATATGTGTATGTGTCACCACCACACACACACACACACACACACACACACACACACACACACACACGGTGGTGTGTGTGTGTGTGTGTGTGTGTGTGTGTGTGTGTGTGTGTGTGTGTGTGTGTGTGTGTGTGTGGTTGTGTCCGTTTGTTGTGTTTGCCCCACCTGCTCTCTCTTGTTGTGTGTGTGGGCCTGTTCACCTTTGATTTTGTCTGTGGTTGTTTTTACGCTGTTGCTCTCGTGCACCAATACATATATCGCCTTCTGTAAACACTGAACAATTTCTCCCTGTTTTGTACACATGGCATTTCATTAATTCAATAGCATGGTATAGGTTCGCGTAATATAAGCCATAAAATAATAATAACTATAACTATTAATTAATAATGTCAACCTATATTTTGGACGATAGCACAGATGCTTCATGCAGTTAAAGGAACTGTAGCCTCTAGGATTTTACTGCATACAACTGTACTTACTGTGTAACAAATCGTCTATACTCACGCGTATTTGTTACCAGATACCTAATTTAATTTTTATAATTATTTACATATCAACGCTACGAAATTTGAATGGCACCATGACACCCGCGACCGTGCTGCCACCCCAAAGTTGCGTATTTAACAATTTATTTTGCAGGTTACAGACCGAGGGCTAATCACAAAAGTGCAATTATATTTATACCTAAATGCTATTTAGTGTGTGTGTGTGTGTGTGTGTGTGTGTGTGTGTGTGTGTGTGTTTGTGTGTGTGTGTGTGTGTGTGTGTGTGTGTGTGTGTGTGTGTGTGTGTGTGTGTGTGTGTGTGTGTCTGCTTGTGTGTGCGAGAAAGATCGACAGG